CTTGTTACATATGTCACTTATAACCCTCACCATATTTCCATCATCACGCCCAGTTTAAGTTCCCTAGCTCTCCTAGGTGCAAAAGGAGTCTCATAGTGTTTATAGTGACATAAAAACGAACAGGACTTACCACGTCCCTTTTCTCCTGTCACACAAGTGGGACTCCAGACTGCTGTTTATTGCTCTCTACATCTGCCTCAATTCTCTTCTCCAGAGGTTCTTTGAATTTGTTTTTTTATAAATATGAAAATAAAAATGTACATTATTTGATCTCTACCAGGCTGCTAAAGCATGGGATGAGCTCACAGCTGCTGTTTTTCTCCATAAGCTGCAGTCAGCAGCTTATGCCTTCTTGTGCCATGAATGTGGCATCATAGTTCTTAGTAGGGTGCGTTAATTCCTCAATATTTACTTTTGGCTTTGCAATATTCCATTATTTACAGTACTTGTATAGACCCTTAAAGGATACCAGACATACCGGCTAAAAATGTTTGTGAATGCACAGACTGCAGTGGCATATGCTGGACGTGTACTCAAGCAGGTACCGTGCACTGATGCTGCAACTGCCCAGCCGTGTGCCAGGCTCTGCTGTCACCCCCACGTCCTTGTTACGGCTGAGTGCCACTGGATGTACAAGATGTACAAGATGTACAAGAAGAAAGCAACTTAGTCCAAGAAAGCCCAAGAAGGACCGCTAGTGTGATCTTCACCAGGGCCTTTCACGGCGTTCAGCCAGGATAGTGTACCACTTTATTTAGGTCTTCCAGGCAAGAAAGTTTAATTATGAAACGGCAATGCCCTGCTGAGTTTCAAACTGCAGCTCCATGGCATAAGGAAACTCTCTCATCCAAGAGAGTTTGTTTGTATGATCTTTGTATTTTACAGTGGAACTCTGCCAGCTTCCCAACAGGAGAAATGTCTTTGCTTTGCAGTGGAGGTGGGAAGATTTGCTCTGAGGAGCAGCCATGGCTATTGCAGACAAGTGAATAAATCCAAGGTGCTGGTCAGCCCTGGGAGGGTCACCAATGGACAGTCCCTAATGATTGTGAGGCTAAGATATTCAGCAAAGAATGTGCCTTGGCTGAAGCAAAACTTTCTCCTGTATTGATTTTGTAATATATGGGGAAAGAATTAAAAACTAATTCTTGTGTTGTTTGAAGACTGGTTGAGGTCAGGCTGGTAGGTGCTATTCTGTGTCTTTGTGCTGTCAGTAACATGTAAGACTTTGGAGCAGCTGTTTGAACAAAACGGGAGCTTTGTCGGGGAAGAGCTGTTCTTTTAAATTAGCAGCTGTAAATGACACAAGACATTGAATAGAAGGAAATTGTACTTTGTGCTGGCTTTCTTCCCTTTCTCCCCACTCCTGCCTTGTCGTTTCCAGTACCCCAGAAGTTCTTCAGTTGCAAAACTACTCCTAGATCTTAACTTGCCTGAGGAACATAAATGAGTTCACATTTTGCTCGAATCAGCAATAATGAGGATTAGAACTACATCAGTGTGCTGCCTCACCAGTTATACCTTCCTGCATGTCTTCTATCATTGCTTGAGTTCTGTGCCTTGATTTACAATATAGGCTCTCTTTATAGGGAAGGAGTGCTGCTGATGAGTACTCTCCTGCACTAATTAATGGGAATATTAAAATGTATGGGATCAAATGTCATTTGAGTTGCCTCAAGCTTTGCCATGAGATACTTTTGTGGAACAGTGCCTTTTTTTATACCTTTAGATTTGAATGTACAGAGCTTGATGTACAGAGATTGATGTTTGGCTAATATGTGTGGTTTTGGCATTTTTTTAACGTCTCTTATAGAGGTGGTAGCAGTGGGGATTTTATACAACATGTCTCTGTAATCTTAAAAATATTACATGAAGAACTAAATTGGATCAAAATATGTGGAATTAAAATACCATAGAAGGAAACAATATTTCAAAATTACTTGAATAAAAAAAAATCCACTGTGGCAATTTGGAAAGATAGGACAAAAGGGAGGGGAAAAACCCAGTCAGACTAGTATTTTTGAATGATTCATTTCCATCTGTGATCTGTATAACTTACTGTCGAGTTCTCATACCTTCATAAGTGGTCTGTGCAACACTGTCTTGGTAGAGTTTTCAGTTGTAAGTTTCTTTGCAAGGACAATGATATACGTCAAAAACAGATAAGGATCCATAGGTCCCCAATTTTTGAGCAATAGAAGAATTCCACTGCTAGGCTGAAAAATCCATTTTTTTATGATAAATTTAATTTTATGAAGATGGATAGGAGAATAATTTAGTTGTATTCCTCCAATTAGTACTTTTAATTATAGTGAGTAGGCCTGTGTAGTCTCCTTTCTAAAGAACTCTGGAGTTTTTAAAAATCCTTTTTAAAAGTGCTATTTTCATACTTTTAAAAATATCAGTGCTGGAATATTCTGCCCTTTATATCTCGGGGATTTATAAGTTGAAGGGATGGTTATTAAATGTCGTCACAAGCCTCTTAGTGGACAAAAAGCTAATGGAATGGTAGCGTGGTATGAATGCCTGAAACTGCTGCCTGTGGTAAGCTGTACAGAAGAATAATTGGCTTTCAGTCGTGTAAACTAGTCAGAGATATTCAGATCCTTTGAATTCTAGTAAGAAATGCACACTTACTTTAAATAGTGATTGACTAAGCATATAAATGTCTTGATCAAGTCATCAGGAAAAAAAAATGAAAAGGAGTTTTCTGTTTACGTTTTGTTATTTCTGTCTGAAATCTTACTGTCTGCATCTTTGCTGTGTAATGTTCCCTGCTGAGAAGGACAGACTGGAAAAACAGTGGGGATCGTTGCCTTTTGAGTTGCTCTTTGCTTTGCAGAGGACTACATGTTGGAAGATCCTGTGTTTTTGTCCAGTGTTTTGTTTGGTATGGGAGGAATATGACTATTTAAGAAAGGCAGGAAACTGTTATTTGGTAATTTTAGCTACATTTCAATTGCAAGTACTGAAAAAGCAGACAGAAGTTTAAATACGTCTTAAGTTCATACATACAAATCAGTTCAGCTTTTATGCTCTTTGGTCAGGAAATTCTGAAACAATATTGAATGAAGGTGTAAAAGGATAATTCCAAGTTGAATTTGCCACAACTATGAATTCACAGGTCATGTTTATCTGAAGTGCTTCTCCAAAATTCTTTCTGTCTTCTTTTTTAAATAACATATATAACAGCTACTGTGGTAGAATCAAACTATAGCATATTTTGCAAGAAGGACTAGATTTTCTTCTAATGCAAACTCATGCCCCTTTGTCAAAGTCAAAGGATACAAGCTTTGCATGCTAATTTGCTTTGCAGATAATTTAGCTTCCATCCACTATTTTTTTTTCAGCACAACAAACTCTAAATGTTATGGCAATTTATGTCCTTTAAGCATATTTTTCTTTAAAAAGTTAGTAGATAGAGTAATAGAGTGCTGGTGTTTCCTATTGGTTGATACTCGTGTGATACAGTACTGATTTACGTAATTCATCAACTTCAATCTACTGTTTTCTTAAGTATTGCCTCCTTTTTTTTTTTTTTTGATTACATAAAATTAATCAGGTTGATAGTAATCATGTTGCTGTAATTACACTATGAGTCCAGTCCAGAGGCTGTGAAAGTCAAAGGTTCTCCTCATTGACTTAGTGAGATTTGGATGAAGCTCATTGTTTTCACGCTCTTTCCGTCACTGCAGTACCAGACAACTGAAATAACTGTTCCAAATATCAGTGTCTTTTGATACTTTGCATTTCTGTTCTGAGAAAATATCCAAGCAAATATGAATATAACCAAAGTAAATTCTTTCTCTCTGAACTCAGAATGACTATTTAACTAGCTTTAATATTTTGATACCCAGTACTAAGTTTCACCTGCTGTCCCTTTTCTTTGCATACAGGTGATGGCTTAAGAAGGTTAGACTGTCTGTTGGGGTTGGAAAAAAAAAAGAGTAAAATCGTGTGTTGAAAAACCCTCTATTTTATTAGAAATTTCTGGAGGACTTCTGTATTTTGCTTTGAATGTTGACAGTGTTTGTAAGTTTGCCCATAACGTCAGTCTTAATCTCTTTAGAGTTGTCTGATCCCCACTTCCCTCTTCCTCATTCCCTACAGTCCTTATAGTTTATACATTCTTAAGCTGGCTGTCTAGCTTGCAGTGCTCAGGTTGTTTGTAAGTATCATGGTAGATGTGTTTTATGGATGTTTATACCTTGGGAACTGCAAGAAGTATGTCTGAACATCAGTGTTAAAACACAGCACATTTTTTCACTTTCATGGGTTCACAGCAGGCTTACTAAAGTAAGAAGTCAACTTATGTGAATATTTCCAATTGTCTACCTTTTATCTATTTCTTGAAAGTTTTAATAAATTAATTTCAACCTACTTGTGTCTTTCTGTGAAACTGGAAAAACCTATTGTGCAGTTTATGCTGTCTGCTCTCCTCTTTCTGTTTGTTCCTACCAGAGTCATTGTTCCAACAAGTGGTCACATCTCCTTCTTTTCCTCAGAATCAGGGTTTTGCTGGTGGCTTACAGCTTATTTGGGTTTCTCAGATCAGGGAAGAAAATGTTTTGCTCCATTAATTCCAAAACAACTAGTTCAGATACCAGAAACACTTCAGTGGCCTTAGATCAGATCTCAAGACTGGTTTTTCCTTGTTTAGGCCTATTTCAGGCATCCAGGTGTTTCATACCATTATTGTACTCTTCTTTGGTGAAAAACAGGTGCTTGCTGTATTTATGCAACCCTCTGTTTTAAAATGCTGTAGTGCCAGCTGTTGAGGTATATGTAGGATATACTTGAACTCATAAAAAATGCCACAAAATCATTAGCAGCATCATCTGAAGAAAAAATAATTGTTAGCATAATGTCTTGCTTGAGGCAATGTAACAGAATGGGCAGTACAGATGTTTACATGAATATGTACCTCATGTAACAGAAGCAAAAAAAGATCAGAATAGAAGTCCTTGCAAATCTGAACCTTAATTTGTTTTGTTCTGCCTTAGCTTGTGGCCGTGGGTTCTACAAATCCTCCTCACAAGATCTGCAGTGCTCCCGCTGCCCTACTCACAGCTTCTCTGACAAGGAAGGATCTTCAAGATGCGACTGTGAAGATAGCTATTATAGAGCACCTTCTGATCCACCATATGTCGCATGCACAAGTGAGTGAGTCATGAATTTAATAGTAAGGGACGTTGCTTAACCAACCAGGTGCAGTGACTTGCAGCGAGTAGTTTTGTCTGGCTTTTCCTGTGTTTGAAAAGTACCTTTGCAACAGTAAATGAAATTGAAAAGCAGAGGGGAAAAAAAGTCGACAGTGAATATGGAATCAGCATAAATACAATTTTCATGTTTGCTTGATATAGCATTGGAAAACACTGCATGTTGCATAAGTGCGTAACTTATTGTAATAGATAGAATACAGGCACAATTTTCCCATGACCATAAAATTGTTGTAGACAGTGTGCTTTATGTGATGCAATACCAAAATTAGTAATGTGAAAAATGAAAAGTAACCTGTGGATCTGTGCTTTGATTGAACTGCAATTGGATCTGACTTGACCTTCTAACTGCAAATAGACTGACCTGCACAGATTGCTGGTTTAAATAGTAGAAGTCTCCGAAATCCAAAGCAGCACCAAATATCTCTGTAAATCATATCAGAGCTGATAACAAAGGACTAGATGCAGCTTGTGCAGTATGTTTAGAAGAGATGAACAAATCCCATATTGGGGAAAACTATAAACCAGAACCTTTAATGTGCATTAACCATTCCTTTTAATTGCACAGTGGAGAAACGGCTAAAGTCAGTAGCAGTAAATATACAGACAATTGTTATTCTGATGCCTTAATGGAAAATAAATAAAGCTCTTACCAAATGAGTTCAAGGAAGCTTTTATGCAGCTTGTAATAAAAATAATGAAATGTTTATGTGGAGAAAAATGCTTCAACTGTTTTCTGTCTCAGTAATTAAAATGCTGGCTATGTGTCCCACTGTGGTTTTGTGTAATTACCCTACACTTTTTTGTGTGTAATGTAGGACCTCCATCTGCACCACAGAACCTAATTTTCAATATCAACCAGACTACCGTGAGTTTGGAGTGGAGTCCTCCTGCTGACAATGGGGGAAGAAGTGATGTGACCTACCGCATTTTGTGCAAGAGGTGCAGCTGGGAGCAGGGCGAGTGTGTTCCCTGTGGGAGTAACATTGGATATATGCCCCAGCAAACTGGATTAGTAGATAACTATGTCACTGTCATGGACCTGCTAGCTCATGCTAACTACACGTTTGAAGTTGAAGCTGTGAATGGGGTTTCTGACTTGAGTCGTTCCCAGAGGCTTTTTGCGGCTGTCAGTATTACCACCGGCCAGGCAGGTAAGTTTTCATCACTTATGAATCTCAACACTGTGAGATTGAGAGAAATTTGGAACATGCAAAGTACAGATGCAGTAAATCAGGATCACGTTTGGTGTGTTCTGTCTCATTAATCTTTTCACCTTGCCAACTAGTTAATTTGAGTTTATACTATTTCACGATAACCCATCCTGATTCTTGGCCTCAGGATTGCTTTCAGAAAGCATTGATGAAAAGACTTAAAGAAGATACACAGCTTTGTTATTAGATAGAATTTATTAACTCTATAACTTTCTTTTGTCTGCTTACTTCATTGTAGGTCATTCCCTAGTATTTGAAGATAAAAAAAGTAGATGTGACAGTCCTATGCAGTCTTCCTTTCTGAACTGTTTGAATACATTTGGGAGTCCTAGGTCACTGGAAGATGATTTGGATATCTGATGGTGTTTTCAGTGTTAATGTTTTCCCTCAGGATAATGTTTCTGATTTATCTTGTATTTCCAGATATTTGATTATGAGATACAGTGAGAATGTGATGATTATTCTTTGTTTCTTCTATTTATCATAATCTGACAGGTGAAATGTCAGGGAAAATAAAATCAAACTAGCATATCACCCCAGGGGGAAAATGGGCTTTAGTTGTCTGCAGCTGAATGAAAAAAAATGTGATTTAGATTTCTGAAATGGTGAGTTGCTTGTTGATAAAATTATAGGCAATAGTGTGCTGTGGGCTTTATGAGGGGATAGTAAAACTAACCTTTTATACTTTGGACAAAAGGTCTTAAACTGAACATTACTTGCAAGATCTGACTTCTGAAGAAATGCCTTAAAAGAAAACATGAAGTGAATAACTGGTGTGATCCTTCCTATAAAATCAGCTAACTAATGTTTTAAAGGATACTACATACTTACATCTTGGAGGAAATTTCAATGTCTGTGATCATGGAATTTTTTTTAGTGTGGTAGAAATGATCCCCTACAGTAATGCTATGAAAAAAAATTGCTATACAGGGTCAATGAGCAAACAGGAAAAACTGTTGTTATTTTGTACTTTGAAGATGGTCATCTCAGGAAAAAAAAAAAGGACAAGAAATTGAGTTCAAAACCTTTCCTCCCTCTCCCCAAAACTAGGACAGTTTATATGGTTGTTAAAGTTAGGCTGGAATATTTATGGGATATTTAATCTCCCCATAGTGCTTTCCTGGATTCCAAATGCACATTTTATATTATTTTGGAACCATCTCTGTGACTGAAAGGATTGGTCTCTGTGCTCATTCAGTTCTTGAAGTTTATGATGAGATTCTGAGCACAGAAAAATTACCCTGAAACTATTTTTGCACCACATATTATATTATTTTGGCACCTTGATTTTTCATCTTTAAAATAATTCTCTGTAATTCTTCAAATGTGTGCAGGTGGACAGTGTACTGCTCTCTGTAGATGACTGTACAGAACTACCACATGAGGAAGAGGATTTGGACTTTTTCCTATTTAACTAAATCAAATTGGCTTTATGTGCTTTGATGGTTCAGTGGCACACAGAGTAGAGTAAGAAACAGCGCAATTTGGTGGCTAGTATCACATCTCAGCAAGATATAAAAGCCTTAATCACAACTTTGTTGTGTTTTCCCCAAGAATTCATTACAGTTTATTATCTTGTGTTCTCATAGTCATAGATTTACAGGAGTTTTATTAGGTCAGAAGATATAATATGGTTATCCTGTGCTATGGTATAAGTAACACAAGCGATATGATTTTGTGAAATGATCCTCACACCAAGACCAGAGATATAAGTGAAACTATAGCCTCTGTATATATTAGAGACAACATCTAGACTTTACCTAAAGATTTCAAGTAATGGAAAAATTCTTCAACCTCCTAGGTAAGTTTTGTAAGATCATGCAGCAGGAAGCAGGAGACCTGACTGTTCCTTCCTTGCTCTCCAGTTTACTGTGGGATTATGCACGGACAAGCATTTCCCAGGATTTGTCATTGTTGAGAGAAAGAGTACTCATACAACTGAAGCTTTGTCTGTTTAGCACTTCTGAATATCAGGATTTAAAGGCTTCCAATTGGGCATCTAAAAGGAATATATGTAGGAGACAGAGTTTGGAAAAAAAAATGGCTTTAAGCTCTTTGTTGCAGTTTTCTCTGTCTGTAAAATGAGGGTAACCCTCACTTCTCCTTTCCAAGGTCTTAAAGATTTTCTGATTCTAAGTGTCACATAAATGCAGCTTTTTTTCTTTTTTCTTTTTTCTTTTTTTTTTTTTAACTGAATTACAAAATTTGCATTAAAGAAAATACAGGCTTTCAGAACAAATGCATTTACCAAAAGGAAAGACCTCTTTTATATTATTTTTGCAACAGCATGTTTTGGATCTTAATACTGATTTCTTTGGTTTCTCAAGGAGGAAAATATTTTAGGTGGAACAGATTGATGACTGTAATTGAACAGAAAGAGACTGGTTGCTCAAAGGAGACTGTTATGCTTCTGTGCTCCTATTTTATTTTACCATGGAGAGAAAGAAGTGTTGGATTTATTTATAGCTAAGTAAACTAGGATTCATGCAGCTCTCATTTGTTACTGTGTGACTATTCTATACTTTTGGCAAAATTGACTTTTTCTATGACCATATTGCTTTTTATGTGTGTAAATGTGTCTAACTAAACCTTCTTCACATGTTATTATGCTAGCACAATAGGTGGCTATATACAATTACTGGGTTCACCAGTTGCACAGAGGATTGCAATGAGATTTTTCCTTTGTAGTTTTGGTTTAATTGAATTGCTCCTTTGTGGCTATAGTCATAGAATTCAAATCATTGTGAAATGATAACAGGATATTATTGATAAAAGAATGGGAATATGGAATATATTCAATGTTTCTTCACCCACATATAACAAGCTTTGATGAGACAAAGAGAGCATGTCACATAAAAGAACCAGGTGGTGAATAAAAGCCTATTTATATTTGTGGAAATAACACAATAAAATGACTGCAAGTGGGTAGGTATCATTCACATTGCTTATATATATATATGTATGACACATTGCTATTCATTCCTTGTTTTAAAAAGACTTTGTGACTAGGCTATCAGTTGTCATATGGCATAATTTTTTGCTTCAGCCAAGAACCATGAGGCTTTTGGGTTTGCTTTGTTTTCTGTTTTTTTGACAAGATTAAGTACAGTAAGTCCCCCAGGAGTAAACCATTTTGCTTCATATCTTGCCTATCCAGCACCATATAAAGAACACAGGATGTCATCCCAGTACTGCAAGCTGATCTATGTGAATCCCTGCATCCTTGTAGAATTCAGATTTAAATGTGACTAAGCTTCAGTTACAATAAATGAATGTGCTGAAGAGCTGCACCTGGCGAACAGCTGACAAGCACAACCTTTGCAAGCTTACTGAACGTTTGTTTACCAAAGAGAAAATTTACCACTTCCCTAATAAGAAAGTCACCTTTTGGTTGTACTGGTAGTTCCTTTTGAGCCATCAAATACCTTTCCAAATTTTACATTTTTTTCCATGCAACACTCAAAAGGTGAATGGAAATTGGATAGGTTTCCCAGCAGGTGAATATTTGTCATATTTCAACATTTGTACATTTTCAAATATTTTACAAATGATATGTTTCAATAACAGTTTCATAATTTTTCTGTTGACACTTTTGCAAATATAGTATGCTTTTAAAACTATATTTCTACATCCTTCCTCTGGAATTTATCTCAGTGGGCAATGGACTAATCTCTGGTAAAGGGTGATATACACCCAACGTACCCCGACTTTGATAAAAATTAAGATATTTGGGACGAATCCCAACATTTATTAGGATTTGAGAAAATTTTAGTATGTGTCCCGAGCCAGTTTTAGTTAGTTTTAGTTAGTTGTTGGGGAAAAAAAAAAATCATATCTAAGGGAGCACTCATAATGTCTTATTACTGTAACCTAACATGACAAACAGAAGTTAAAATGTAATGACAGTAACTGTTCCTAAACTGCTCTTGTGCAGGGAGCACTTGCTAATGCTTGCTGCTTCTTCACAGCAAGAGAAAGGTGCCCCACAGCACTCTTAGGTCATGCTGTGCCTTCATATGCACTTAATGCTGACAACTGGAAGTGGTTAAAAAACCCTGATTCAGTTCCATAATCAAGGCTTACTCTCTAAACCCATTCTCTTTTAGTGACAATTTATATATGTTAATTTGCTATTCCATTTTTACATCTGAGAGTTCAATTTTCAGACCATTTCCTACAAACAACAGATCCCAAAATTCACAGTTAAAAAAAAAAAAAAGGAAACAGATATTTTCAAAATGGCATTATCCCAGCAACCTGAACTGAGAAAACATTACGTGCTATAAATCATGACTATTAGCAGCAGCACCACTGATTTACATGACAGGAAGTGGTTTAATGCAAAAATGTAAATGTGTGAGGTGGGTTCTGCCTTTCTTAGGTAATTCTGAAATCTTTGTAAACAGAGGAGATACTTTGCTTTCTCCCATATGCTACATTCTCCTTTCGTTCTTGCTGATCATAATTTTTCACTTTTTTCTTTTTGCTTTTTTCCCCAGCTCTCAATTATCCCTGCTCATTTTTTAAAGTCTCCTCTTTCATAGTCTTTGCACTGTTGACATCTATTTGTTTCCTGTTCCCTGTCAGTCTCACTTAAACCTGACTTTTCTTCAGCAATGAACTGTCCCCCAGCAGAGGCAGTGATCAAGAAGATTGATGCCTGCGGCTTTCCCAGTCACTATGACCTCAGCATTCTAGTCCTATTCTCACTTCTCTCCTTTCCCCAGGCCATTATGGCTTCTTCCCATGCTGCCACCAAGTTGTTTTAATCTACCTTCATCTACATCTTCCATCTAATGTTCACCTCTGGTGATACATGACAGCTTATTACAAACAGCTTCAGTGGTCAGCTAAACATTTCTTCTATGTTTTCCCATTTCAGTGGACTTCCTTTAGCTATAGGTTTCATTTGATATTTCCTGCTAGTGATTTTGCTTTTT